GTGTTAAGAGCAGCAGACAGTTTAAGTTTCACTTTCAGTTTCACTCATTTGCTTTGTTACTGCCGAGAGCCTGCAGGAGTTATGGGCGGGGTGTGGGGGCTAGGGGGTGTGCTCTGTGATGAGGACGTTCGGCTTAAAGACACGTCCCAGTGGCATTCCTGGTCCCCAAATGTGTTTCTGGTCCCCACCTGTCGTTTTGCTCCTCAGCATGGCTTCCTAAAAACACTGCAGGATTTCTCAAACATGCATGAATGAGTCAGAGCAAGGCTTTGGGCATGTTTTTTATGAGAGTATAACATTATAACAGGATATAAAACTCAAAAAGCTGATTTTACATGATATTGCCCCTTTAATGGAAAAAGACCAAACAATTTGACAGGTTAGAACAAGGATCATCAATTCCGGTCCTCGATGTCCGCAGCCCTGCATGTTTTACTTTTTTCCTTCTCTAACACACCTGATTCAGTCAGTGAATTACCTCTTCCAAGTTCTGCAGAAGCCTGAAAATAATCCATTCATTTAAATCAGGTGTGTTGRAGCAGAGAAACAAGTCAAACATGCAGGGCTGCGGATCTCAAGGACCAGAATTGATGATCCCTGGGTTATGTTGTACAGCACAAAGCAAAATTCTGTGCCAAAAGTATTATCCCATTCACGTTTAGCACAGGAAGAAAGTTTTTTTTTTTTTTAAAGAAGTTCAGTACGTGCCCTTTAAAAAATGATTCTCACCCAAGCTTTATCTGGTGGTTTCTGGAACAGCTGGGACTCTGCAGGCTGTGCCCCTCCAAGAATCAGGTCTGGCGTACAGTGTTGAGGGCAGGACAGCTCAGGCTCTCCACCTGGTAGTCCCGTCTGAGCACAGCCACACTGCTGCCTTCTCCCTGAGATCAGGTAGGTTCTCATCCCTAACAGGAAACAGAGACAGGAAAAACCCCACTGTTCAGACRTTTATCGATGTAGCTTTCTTTTTACACATTTTTAGTCAGTCTTGACAAAAAATGCACAATCTTATGCAATATTGTGAAATCTTACAAGTTGTGACCGCGCTCAGAGAATGTGCTCAGGATGACTCTCAGCTACTACCACATTTTAGGTCATTTTTGTTTTTATTTACGCTTAGCTGTGGTGGTCATCTTAAAATAGGTTAACTCAAAAAGTTGTAGATGTATATCCAATGATTATTTTCTGAAAGTTTCATTAAATCTGTGCACTGGTTCATGAGTTGATTTTATTAACACCACACAAACACACGCACATGAATAAAAAAACACACATTATTGCTTCTCATTTTTGCTGGCAGGCAATAACTGATCAATTGTCTACAAAAACTGAAAGAAAGTGTTCTCCCAAAGTGTTTTTGTGTTGACCTCCAAAATGCACTTTTTCCTAGGGGTGTAAGAAAATATCGATACACTGAAATATCACGATATTTCATTTCCCGATACTGTATCGATATTCTAAAACCCTGTATCGATTTTTAATTAAGGTTTAAAATGTCAACCTTCTTGCCAACCGTTCATTTTT